GTGGAAGCTTCCTCATAGATCTAGTAATAAGGGGTGTGCGATAGACTTACCTCCACGTGGTGCACCCTGGGCAACGTATGCTCATACGGCAAAAAAGTCTATTATCCGGCAGTTGACTTCTGACTCCAAACTACCATCACCTCACTGTATGCCATATTAGCCTATTTTCACAGTACTCACCTCACCTTTGTTCTACCTTTGTGTTTGTCTCTTACATCTTTGAAACACTCTTCTGTTCCCCCCCCCCTCTCGACTTTTTTCAATTTGATGTTCCTCCTCCCCTTTGTGAAGCTTGAAGTCAACTAAAGGGCTAATGATAACCATCAAGACGCCTGCCATTTGATACAAATAAATAGATCTAGTAATAATGCGAATATAGATACAATTGCTGAAATGACCCACTATATCTAACGTTATAATACCATTTATGTCACACTAAAAACAAAAAGAGCAGATTTGCAGTACCTTCTAATCAACACAGTTCAGAGTCAATCCATTTAGGCCCAAAATTGGCAACGCACATATTTTAGAGTTATAAACTTAATAAATAAAATTATGTGAACGTCATCTATCAGATCCAAAGAGAGAAAAATAAATCCGCTACCTTTTGAAGGTCGTGGCCACAGCAGTAACACAACCTCAGTTGCACATAATTAGATTTCGATAGAACTTATGAAGGGAAGAAGGAATCGCTTTTCCTGCAAAAAACATCCCCACATTCGTAGAGAAAAAGCTGCTCCAGTGGAACAGGAAGAGAAAACTTCACTGCTGAATTTGTGGAAAAAAGGAAGGCGATTGTATTAACGCATTCTTTCTTTGGCGTGGATATAGCTTAGCGTGATTAAAGTGTCTCCTAGAAGAGGGTCAAGCAAAGTTCTCCCTTCGCAGATTCAACGAAAAGGAAACGTTGAAGTGCCAGCTCTATTTCCCGAGTAGAGAGGGCCTTCGTCAAGGTCGCAGAGACAGACATCAGCTTTGATTCACCAAATCGAATGAGGCGAACCCCAAACAAAAATGAATTCCCTAATGAATAGAGCACTTGAAAGCTATATTCCCAAATTATGCCTAAATAGGAGAACAAAACCATCGTTTAAGCGAAAACAAGGAGAAGCTGATAAGAGGCAATTTAGTATGAATACGAAGCAACGATTTTATCCAGAGAAAAACCAAGTTTAATGCACTTTGTAAGAGTGAATTAGTTGATTAACAATGCATAGTTGGCTTTTTTATTTACTGCCATATGAGGAGCTTGCCAAGAGAATTGAGAACATTGACAAAAATTTTGGAGTTAGAAAAACAACAGCCAATAGATATTGATTTCTTTGCAAATTATGCAATCGAAATTGGCGGTTGAAAGTAAAAGAGACAGAAATAAACAAAGGCACTTTAAATCACCAGCAACAGGAAAAGAGAAATTGAGGAATAAAGGAAAAGGAAAGAGGAAATGGCTTTTCTAACAAAACTAACAATTTTCTGTCAGGCAGTCAATGTCAAGTTAAAAAAAGTGTGCAAGATGGATTTTACCAAGAGACCACATAGCAGTACTTCAGTCGCATTAGTTATGAGATGAATTTTGAACAAAACGTGTCAAAATGGTATAATATTACAAAGAACTCCTTCCCCCCCCCCCCCCTCCCCCTCCAATAAACATCGTGGAACCCGTCTTTTAAAATCCAATATTGCATCTTGCAGCATCAGGACACGACACGATGAGGTAAATAAAGCGTAGAGAAGCAAGATTTTTTAGTGCTGTGATTTTATCGCCCCCCCAATTGAGTACTTGGATTTCTGTTTTTTGGCCAAGGAAAATTAGATTACCATGCTGCCGTCAAGGAGGGAAACACAACAATGTAAAAAATAGTTGAGAAAATAAAATTTTATTGTGATTAATGGTTCGTTTGTTTATGCAAATTATTGGCAGGCCAGTACTTTCATTCAATTTATTCGGCACAAGCAATATAAATCATACCAAAACCATTTGATTGGAAAATTTATCCGGAAGAAATTACAATGGACTGTGCTCCAAGGTGAATAAAATTCTTCAGAGAGCTTAAAAACTCAAGAATAGTGTAGCTTATCTAATTACTAGTAAAGTTAGAAAGATCATTGCACAGGTGAATGCAAGCAGCGCTAAAACTCCAGCGCAGAAGTTATACAACAGAATCACGAACGGCGTAGAAATTGCAAATGACTCTGCTTTCGTTCAAACTAAGATAGGGGGAGAGGAGGGGGAGGGGGGGGGGTTGTTGAAACATTCCATCATTTGACAGTGGAAAACAAAGCATATCAGAAGTGATAGTTGCTATTCTCGCCACCATTAAGGCTTTGGTATTAGTAAAGTGCTTAATTGAAACTGTCGATACAATTGTTTAAAATTCCAGATTTAATACCATTTAATATTATACTTCAAATTTGTCATCCAGTTTAAACTGTGCATTTGAATTCCTAGCCAAACAAACTAAATACCTACGGGTGTCCAATTCATTCCATCGTTGGTTTGATTCATCACCAGCGACATTAATAGATCACCACAAAAATATCACGTAAACTTGTGACATTTTAGGAAGCCCAATGAATGACTACACAGGCAAAGATTTATGCAAGAGCGTTCTGTTACACCGACCTGATACAAATGCCACAGAATTCAGAATCAATTCCCAAACAAGTCAAAAAGGAAAAAAAATAGAGCCACTCTCAAGGACTAACCATTCACTGGGATTTGGAAAGACATTGATGAACCAACGGTAGAACACCAGGGGGTACATTGGGAGCAATTTCTTAAGGAACTTTCCTCTTTTCACTCTAAAATGGAAAACAAAAAGGGAATCAGTATTGCATCCAGCAAAACAAAAAAAGTAATCGTTTCTACGCCATTGTAGTAAGGTGTGAGGAGAATAAGAAAGCTCGACATTTGCAGAAAGGAAAGGCCACCTTGTCAGTAAATAATAGACATAGAATAGGGCAAAATAATTGGCACCTTGCATATATGCGCCAAGATATTCCCATGGTGAAAAACTGGCTACAACCCCATGTCACAATATGCAATGTTAGTGGAAATAGCCTATTAATAATAAGGTAGGTTCTTGGCTAGAAGACGCTTACCTACATGATAGGAGACTTGAAGCTCAAGAGATGCAGGGACTTCCTTAGGCGGCCTAGGATTTTGATTACTGGTAGGAAGTCAACAAAACCAAACTCCAGACTGCGTCTTGGAGCAACTGGTTTTCTGTCTTACCTCCCTATCCCTCTCTGAATCGATTGTAGTCTAACGATAGCCAGTACTGAGTTGAGATCTTACGTCATTCTTCTTGATACGTTAGGACCAAATAAAGTCAGAAGCAATGCCATCAGACCGAATGTAAAATACCCCCCCCCCCTCCTCAGAAGGTTAAACTTCTGTGTCGTTATGAAGTCAGCTTCAGATACTGCGAATACTGGCCATTCTCGAAACCCATTCCAACTACATTTATCCTTTACCCATCATGTTCTTTCATACTAGAGAAAGCGTATAATCCAACCATTTCACTTATATAGACTGAAAAACCTGGTTTAAGTTCATCCATATAAACTTTGCTCATACCGGTCTTGTCTCACCCCCCCCCCCTCTCTTTATCTTGCTTCGTGCCGAAGATCCTACACTAAAACTCAAGAGACGCCAATAAAAGTCAAGTTAAAACTTGCGGTAATGGGTCCTCAAGCGATGGTGCGAATCGAGTCAACGTGACCCAATTTAACGGTCGTCCTGCTTCCGCATATAGAGTGGTAAGAATAGTCCTGTAGGGTTGAGTATTACTGACCCACTCGATAAGACCACCATGCTCTCGCAGAGGTATCACCGCCTAAAGTGGGGAGGGAAAAAGAGGGAACTATTAAAGCAAGTTATGGCCTCCCAAGACGCCGACTAATCTTAACACTGCGGCTTAATTTATGAGTGAATTATTAATGGGTGAGAGCTGGCATTTACAGCGTGATGTTTAGTAATGAATCGGGCAAGCTTCCACTAAGTTGCCGAACCTAATTATCATGGCTTCACGTAGAGCCTAATATTGCGGCGACCTCAAGTTGTTTGTAGAGCACCACTGTGGGAAATCATTTCTGTTGAGTGCACAAGATGGAGCATTCTGGAAAGTGCAGTGGTGCCGCGCTTGGGACAGAAATCATGTATGGACGTGCGTGGAGAGACCTCCAAACTAATCAATGACCTAAACTTTATTCAATATAGCGTGACGCTGATTACAATTAATGGGTAAGGACGGTGGGAGAATTAACACATCTTCGCCCCCAAGGGCAAAAAACTTCATTCATTCTTGACCTTCTGTATTCTCACTAATTTGGATAAGCACTAGCTAATTTTAGTGGCAGATTTATGCTAGACATGGCTACAATTAGTGGAACTTCTAGGAAGACTACCAGGTTTTTGTAAAATACCACTTGGTGTGGCGTCTGCAACATGGGTCATATATTATACACGATACTTGGCAGCACTACAAAATTTAAAATGCTAATATGTGCCAATGGCGATGCGCCTTGCATATATATTCACTTACATAGGTGCGAATTCCAAGACCTCGATGACGCGTCTGCGGATTCTTTAGGAGGAAGCGGTTGATTATACTGTTCATATCCATCAAGCGGCTGTCTTTGCGCATATCATCCTAAAGCGGAGGAGGAGAAGAGAGATAAAAAAATATTACAAGTGCGCGGTAGATTTGTGGAATGAATACAAATTATCCACTACTCGTCTCATAGCTATGGAATGCAGTAGCTAATAAGGAACCAATTAAGAACAGACTGTGAAATATGTGGCAATGTGAATGCATATGAATAGAGAGGTGCCAAAGATAATCGATAAGATAATAGTATAGCCTAACAACAGCATCCAAATTTGAAAGCTCATAGTTTTAGAGATGTCGCGAATTACAAGATAGGTAAGATCCAATTGAGATGTAATCATTAACAAGTCTACCAAACTCTAAGGGAAACCCAAGAAATCGTCGATTTAGCGTCCCAGCTTCCAATTCTTTAACACCCGGTTTACGACCTTAAACGCTAGTTGGATTTTCTCTTAACTATTTCAGGGTCTTTTGGCAACTTTCAACACCAATATATGCTGAGGTAACACAACCACATCCAGACCCAGACTCCTGACGAAGATTTCATCTTTTCTTTTTATCCGTCCATCTTTGCGGTACCTCAACCACCTGCGCTTGCAGCCTCTTTCTACCCTCAAACCAGCGCTGCGCGCTTTACTTCAGAGAACAGAAGGGACAAAATGCGACAGCGTTGCTGTTGTGCTACCAAGCATGAGGTTCTCATTAATTCTTAATGCCTCAATTTCAAAGGCGTATTTACAGGTATGAGGATTTGATTTATTTTCCCTAATGGGATGAATAATTAAAAAAAGTGACAGGCTGTAGGAAAGATGGTAGGAGTAACCAATCGAAACATTTGGGGAAAAATGAAAGTTCACAAACGATATTACTACTGAGGGATGTACGATAGACTTATCTCCACGTGGCGCACCCTTGGCAACGTATACGCCCACGGCAAAAAAGTCTATAAACCGGCGGTTGACTTCTCACTTCAAACTACCATCATCCCACTGCATGCCATATTCCACCACTTCCACAGTACTCATCTCACCTTTTTTTTTCGACATTTGTGGCTGTTTTTTAACATCTTTGAAACACTCTTCTGTCCCCCCCCCTCCTCTCGAAATATATGCCAAAAAAATAAAAAAAACGACAAAATGATCAAATGAACATACTAATCACTAATTCATTAAGTAAACAAAAGCATCACAAAAGTGAAGTGGAACACATAGGTCTCTTAATTCCAACTCAGAAGTGTGCAGATTTTTAACGAACCGGGTTTTTAAGCCCCGGATATAGGGAATAAAAAAATCCACCCGCCCTTACTTCAACAATAAAGTAATGCCAACCATCAGATCTGATATACAACTATAATTTTTATAATTGCATAACATTCCAATCCACATCAGATCTTATCAGAGAGACTACTAAAAATGTTGAGATAACATCAGTTCTCCCTTGCAGGGTTTAATGTTTCTACCAAGAAGCTCTAATTTACCCCTACTCTAAGGAGAAAACAAGAAGCGAGGCTGTAAAAAGATGTTCTAAAATGGAAAGATTCCGCGATCGGTGAAGCCTTTTGATAATGCAAAGTAGAACAAACACGATTGAGCCTTAGAAACGATGCCTTTCCATATCCGCGGTGTGAACAACTAACTTCCATAAGTTAATTCAACAAAGCTCGTGCATACAGCGAAAAGTAAAGGGAATATACTTGATGGACTTACATTAGGTTTAGCCACAATCGCGTACCTTCGTCCGTCACTCCCTAGCCAATACATCTTCTTCGGTCGAGTCTGAGATCCCAGGACCTCCACATCGTCTTCAATACGAACTAACTTGACGAAACGGCTCTCAACACCGAAAGGTTGATGTTCATTTACCTCCGACAAGGTAGCTCCAGGTCGAAGTAATGACGGCACAAGTTGACGGTGAATGGGAATCAGAACATCAGAGAAGTCACTTAAATAAATAAATGAGGAGTAGGCAATGAGGGTGTTTGTAGCCAAGAACCTTAGTAATTTTACAACAGAGCATGCTGGTTTGAAATGAGGGCATTTGAGTAAACCCTGAAAAAACTAATGATAATTGGTATTCAGATCGCCATACTCTGATGTATAGGTTTCTCGAGCTTACTAGTTGATGAATCACAGTGTTCCTATTCATTCGACTCCTTCCCGTAATAAGCATTTGGTCTCCATAATAAGCGCAATTCCCTCCCTTCCTCCCCTTCCCCCTACTTCGGTAAATGTGCTCGTACCTTGTACATACTCCTACCAGAATCTCTGTATTTTGTCACACCTTTTATAGACGACACACCTGTGGCATAGTTATGGACATGAATCTCAAGAAATCCAACTTACCAAGCTAGAACTAACAGTGCATTTGCATTCCACTGACAATAACGCAATATTAGTGCGCTCTGAGAGACTAATTAGTTTATAGCACAGTTATTATGGGGGCAATTTTTAAGTCTGTTTAATTGTTGTCATGGTAATAAGCCACAAAGCAGCGAAGACAAAGAATTGGATAAAAAAAATGCGTGAAAAGGGAAAGAGGGAGGTAGAAAAGAAGAAATAGGAAAGTAGTGCGTTTCTTTTCACCAGCCGACAATAATCTATCAAGTATAGGCAGAAGAAACATTAATAATTACTACGTGTTAAGACGAAAATGCTAATAGTAGTTCTAGTGTTGTAGTTTTTTAAATTACATAAGCCAGTGTTGTTGAGAAAAATGTCGCAAGAGCTGGAAATAAACATGGCTGAGTGGAGAAAGACTCTTGTGGCAGTTGCAGTTACGTCTCAAAATGAGTGGTATAGGGAGAGAGAGAGAGTTTGAGGAAAATTGTATAAAATAATAGTTGCTCAAAGGTGTCCCGCACACTGCGTTTCCATTAAAAGTCTACACCCTTCTTCATTCATATGCATGACGCCAACCCGAGTGGATAATGCCTGCGACCAAACCGAATATCCTGAAGAAGAACTTTCATTACGATAATTGCCACCGGCCATCAAAATAAGGAGATTATGATGCTGCTCAAGATGCCCTCAAAACTGTGAAAACAATTAGATGTGAACTCGAGAATTTCAATGGAGACTACAGGACTGCTGTGGTTAGGAGATACTAACATAACAAATAATCTGACTTGATTGTCCTCCCATATAACATAACCTGCAAAATCTCATGCAGATAAAGGTAGCAGGTCACGGTACCACTTTTTTGCGAAGAGAACGACTCTTGACAAGATCCAAAATATGACAGTCAAAATAAGAGGTGACTTTGAATGCATGGGGTCCAAAGGAGACTCCTCCAGTCATCCTGACTACATTTCTCAAACTTTCATGGTTTTCGGATGCATGTCTTCCCCACCCGACACCCTCACCACCACCGACGGTGATGTGATGTTATTCCTCAAGCTGCATTGAATTAAAGAGGAGCTATTAGTTGACTTCAAATCCTTCATTCTTGGACAATGAACGAGCGCATTCAAGAATAGGCCATATATATACGTCAGCAGAAGAATGGGCTGTTATGTGTGTATGCCAGTATTGCAAAGTCAACCAGTTAATGAACAGAATGGAAGCAGTGTTTGAGATCGCTCAAGTGGAAAGAGCAAATAGAGCTTGGTCCAGAGGTTTCGGAGCCGATTTATTGCTAGCAGCGGGGGCTTTTGTGAGTAATAACATTAGCTAATAGTGTAAATACCATGTCCGTTGGATACATTCTGTAGCTTCCAACCCACATACTGAAACCCACTTTTTCACTCCATTTCATTAGCTTTCCAACAATGAAGAATTTCAAGAGTGTAGATTGCAGTGGGTCGCGGTACTTATTGATGTATGAGTGAAGAGAAGGATAGAGAGTGGAGCAACATGGCTGCTATGTTACACCTTCAAAATTCGGCGAGTGGTCGTCATTCCTCCAGCATGGAGAAGTGCTTGACGCAATATAAACATGCCAACCTGAAGATGGTCAGTTTTTGCCGAGAGAAAAAGCAATAAAATACTGAAAAACAGGAGAGTGGCGAAAGCGCATTACTAATCTGACGAATTTAGCCTTCAGATAAGTTCGTTAGAGCTGTCGCGTACCCACTGAATCTACAGCGTCACCAAGACTGATCGAAGGAGATACGTGCGCACAAGAATTTTGTGGAAAGTGAGGGTATGCTTACAGAGGATCTTCTCAGCCGACAGGTGATTAGCATTCATTCATTAAAAGCAGAGTTACGTGTATTTCATTACTGGTCATGTTTTTTTCCCAGTTTATATAAAAATAGCATATTTGAACTTCACTCCGAATTTTTTGGCATCACTTAATTCTGGGGTCTGAGAGAAAACCAAGGGACTGGTCAGGTGTGACCACTCCCAAATGTGTTAAAGAATATAAAAATTCAATCAGAAAGAGTCAACTGCCCAATAGTTATAAGAATTGCATAAATCCTAGCAAATGACATACACAAGAGAGAGAGAGAGGGAGAGATGGAGGGAGAGAGAAAAGCCAACGGTGAAATAATGTCGAAATGTCAGTTACTAGTCATCAACACACAGAATGCCACTTTGACAGCGCAATGAAGTCAATAAGCAGGTAAGTTGTTTAGTTGTTTGCACGAGAGAAAGAAGTAGAGGAAATGGTTAACCTTTACACACTTCGATATTTAACCATTCGAAAGCGAATATGAAATGTAATGAAAAATTGCAGATTTCCACCAAATACAATTTGTTCAAACGACTGAGAAAAAAACAGACATATCTGAAATACATGCTTTAGGTTATATAGAAAGAGGTAAAAAACTAGAGTCCGAAACATAGCTATTGATTTGGATGAAGTAATTTTGTGCTTTTGCACTTAAAGACAGAGCTCATTATTGACTGACTGATAGAAAAGAAGCCTTCAAAATGCACAGTTAGACCGTCAGCCAACTGTCAATAGCAGAGAGGGTTGTTTCAACGCCCCTATTGTCTCATTGGGCGTATAAGAAAGAGGGTAGCTTTTACCAATTTATATATAAACCAAATGCTAAAAGCGACGAAAGTAAATTGTTTTCAAACCGAGAATTTTGTCGTGAAATTAACTTAGTAAGGCAAATCCATACCAGGAACAACGACAAAATAAAGTTTGAAAACATATTTTACATATCTGCCCATAAAAAACATTGAATAGCGTGCATAAAACGTCGCTTAGAACCTTCAATTGATGAACATAAATTGAAAAAAAAAGAAATTTTTTCCTGGGCTGCTCACAACAAGCATCTTTTAGAACTAACTCGAACAAGTGACTCAAACTGCGATTCAAGTAATCTAAAGCTACACTTGAAAGGCGGTAGAATTTCTCATATCATAACTTTTCAGGCTTATGATGTGAAAGTGACATAGCAACGACCAGAAATCGATTTTCCTCCTATCAATCAAGGTTAATCCATGAGAGCATAATCACGAAATTTATTGCAAGCCATGTGGCAAGATGTTCAAGTCTTAATCTTCAAAGAAGGGGAAAAGATGAACTTATTCAGCAGAAGCCAAAATTTGCAAGCCAAGTAAAATTGCAAAAAATATACACATGAATCTGTCAATTATCAGTAAGAGCTATTTTGGTGATATAAAGGCAGAGTGGATGATAAATTGCCATAATCCACTAATAAGACACACAGTTATGAACAGGATAACTGAACACCAACTACTTATGACGACCTCTCTAGGAGTCGAACTTTTCAGAAACATGTCAAATTATCGGCACTTCAAGAAATTCAGAGCCAATTCGCTCAAGAGTAGGAATGCGAATGACCACCGTAGAGGAGTTCACGTTTAAGATTGATGTAAAGAGTCAATAACTGCTCGGTTCGGCCAACTGTGAGAGTGATGTTACCATTTGAATTTCAATCAACACCAATTGGCACGCAATTCATTTTTTTTCAAAAATAAAAGTCCACCTCTCATTCCAATTCAATCAATACGCTTACTCGCATAGTTGCCTCTAAAAATGATTAACCATGGGAGATGGGGGAGGTTGAGAAAAAAAGGATGTAAGGTTTCTCCATTTGAAGGCCATTAAAAATGTCTTAACAGTGCAAAATTTCGACCGATAGCCAAGTTGATTGCTAATTTGCGCTAGAATGAAGTGCAATGAACGATAACCTTTTTCCAAGGCAGAATTTAGAGGTCCCAGAGAGAGAGAGAACATAAACCATGGGACCTCATAAAAGAGGCAATAAATTAAAATCACAAGCCAATGCGATCAATGTTCCAATTGGAGCATTAACTGGCATCCATAAAGCATATTTTACACTAGAAAAAGGTGGCCAAAATCTGATAATAAAATAAGCGAAATTCCTTCAACACTCTTAATTAAAAAATGTAGGGAAAATTAACAACAAGATAGAAGTGGGACTTGAGTTCCAGACACCCAGCAACAAACTTGCCTGGAAAGGCAGGAGCTAATGACGTCCACAAAACCAGAAAAGAAAGATACTTTGAAAAGTTGCACGTCTGTCAGTGTGCGTGACTGCTAATTCAGCGGTCATACCAATATTATTTGGAACCAGTCGCTATCATCAACAGGAGAGGTGGAGAGGAGTATGGGTTTGTTGCAAAAGCGGCTTCAGGATACCTTCCCAATAGAAGACCAAGGAAGTTTTTCAAGAAAGAATAAAACTGTTTTGGCGATATTTAGAAGCGCAAAAATACAGGAAAGCATAGTCAAACTAAGCTTCAAATTATTTCGAAACAAGTTTAAAACAAAATGTACCATTCAGAATACGAGGCAAGTTTGTTTTAAACTTTGTCCAAAAATAGCTTAGATCGGCAATCAACACACACACACACACACACAGAGAGAGAAAGAGGGAGAGAGAGATGGAAAAGAGAAATAACAAAACTGCGTATTTGGTTATGGTAAAAATTAGTATGAGGGCTATAAATTTCTCCGTCATAGTTATAAACCAGAGAGAGAGAGAACATGACCTTTAAGACTTCAAATAAGGTAGAAAGTTGGTGCAGAAAACTGATAAAGCTGAAATGCCTCAAGGAACTAGGTAATAGTAGTAGTAGTAGCAGCAGCAGAAATATCCTGTTTGGCAACGGCGGATATATGAATGGCCAATTAAGGTGGAGCACACAGTATGATCAAGGCTGATCCAATGAATATCACACTGCGAAAGGACATTCTGGAAAGTACGACTTTCTCAGCAATCGAGTTTACGCCATGTAGCAGCACGTACTGGTGCTTCTCATTCCATTAACTCCTTAAAGCCCGATTCATATTTTTGATGCCGCCGATGTGATGAGTTTTGGTGGTGTACCAGACGAAGGTTATAGGAATGTAATGAACATGTTTCAAACGGCAATAGCGTCTTCTATAGTGAGTCAGATACCAATAGAGTTTATTTTGAAAGAGAAGCCTACGGTTCTAAGGGCGCTAAAAGGGTTAATATAGAAGTTAGGAAATACGGCGTATGCGGTCGCTGCCATTTTTGCAATACCTCCCCAACTCAATACACACAAAGCCAGCCACTTCTACCTATACCGAGAACAAATGAGAAGAAGAGAACAGGAAATACTATTTACTTACCAAGTTTCAAGAAGGCGAGTAAATGATCGAACAACATTGGATATTTTGAAGTTTCTCACATCTTTGTGCTCAGTCGAGAGAAATAGATCACTGATAGCTCGCAGATGGCCACAGAGGCTAACGAATTGCTGCAAAAAAAGAATATTCAATTCATAGACAACAGACATACAGGAGTTAAAGAAAAGTAATCAGATTCGACTATCAAGAAGAGACACGACAGGACAGTAATCAGAAGATGTGAGATTGGAAATGAGTCTAAGACACTCGAGATAACCACTAAACTCGAGCAAGAGTCTCACTTGGAAATCATTAACAAATCATAAGTGATAGACAACCTAACTTTGTCTAATCTATGTGACAACTTACTGGAAATAGAGAGGAGTCGGTTCACATAATATCTAACTAATGTAATATCAGTTCATCGAAACGAAAAGAGTCTATTCAAAAGGACGCACCTTCATGTAACGGAATCTCTTTGGATTGAGTGCACTAAAAATACAAAGAACGCAATGGAAATCAAGATTCTCAAATAAAAAAGGTAAAGCTCTAAAAAAAGCTCACTTGGTTTTCGAACAAATCTGTTGGAATCTCTCATGTCGTTGGGCAACAGTGGCCTCGTGAAGGGATATAACAAACCAGACAGTTTGTTGAGGGTATTCATTGAGTATGAGAACAATAAGGTCGATCAAGAGATTGATGACAGCCGGATGTTCATGACAAATGCGTGATAAAATTTGGCCAATCGCAGTATAGAATTGGTATTTGGGAATTCTGTCTATACTCTTTCGTACCAACTAAAGAGAAGTCATTTCAGTTTATAACAAAAACAAATTATCACGCTCCAAATAATATTTGAAGAGGACTTACATCTTGGACTTCATCAAATGTATTGATCAAATTGGTTTCAGAGGATTTTAGGACTGCACTTTTACGATTAAGAGATGACGAATATGCGACTGCTTGAGGGTGACGTTGCTGAATCTTAGCAACCTCGGAACCATAGTCAAGCCAGAGGGAGAGGAATCGAGGCATGGATTGGAAAATATACTGACTTCCTGAAGCCAGCGCTTTACTGTAGTTCTCCAATGCGATTTTGAGTAGGACGCTAGAATGAGTGGGGAGGGGTGGGGGGGGGGGGAGACGGGTCGGAATGGAGTTAAAACATTCAATAAAAATCGAGATAAAGGAGTACGGAGCAGAATAACTCACTTATGCTGACTGCCGGATTTAACGTGAGCTTCATCAACGTAGTGTGCCAGTCGAAAATGAGCCTTTTCACAGCCGGGGAATGCTTCGCAGATATCTGTGTAGAGACGTCGGGTTCGATCAAAATCCAAATGACTGGTCTCAACGCAGTAGCGAGCATGTAGAAGCAGAGCCTAGGCAACACAAAAGCAATACTTACTCAGTCTCTCAAATTAATGAACTTCGGCACCAGTCAACCAATCCCCACCCCCCTCCCCCAAAGAAAATAGATGGGTGATATGAGAACATAAATGGAATATTGAGTGTTCAGGAGGGTAACCAATGTTATGGCATAAGATTAGGACCTGCCACTGGTAACTAGGATATTCAATGTAGTAAACAGCCGGGGATGGGTAAAACCCACCCTCTGAGTCGTAAATTTACCATCCCCAAAGTCCCTCGAAATCAAGAAATCACCTGAATATACCCTATTAGGACAACAGCAAGGAAATGTGCTTACCACAGAAAGATCTACTACGTCAAGATTACAGGAGCTGTTAAATAGCATGTATAAGTATTCTGTTTCTCGGCTTTCAAAAAGAACTTTTGCAACATAAATCATCCATTAAGTAAATATTGCAAAACCCAATCAAAACAATTATAAATGGAGATTCTCTGACGCATTGACTTTACCCCCGTTGGGGAGAGAAATAACTGCTAAATGTAGTGGCATGTAGAGAAGCAAAAAATAGACCCACCTTGAGTACAAAGATTGGATCAAGCGTCTTGTGGTTCGTAGAGTCAAGCAAAGGCGCGGTAAGAGACTGAGCGAGGCTTTGTGCTGAAGCATCACCACTTGCTGAAGTTGCAGCAAGAGCACTTAAACCCTTGTTCAAGGAGTCTAACGCCGCTTCCTGTTTATTTCCCTGCCAGAGTAGCTTCGCGTACTCAATCATAGTTCCAATGCACCCCTGAGATTCAGCCTTTAAAACGCAGGTGTAGGCTGTTGTGAATTGGCCAGACCTATAAAGAAACCAAATAATTAATAAATTAATTTAAAAATTGATTTGTTGCGCCCATTCAAGAGCTCTCACCCCGCACGAGGAGCTTAGGGAATTGCTGTCAAAGAATTATTGGGTAAACCACGTGATAATTCCAATGCTTGGTTAAATTTAATGAAAAAACGCCCACTAACTCATTCCCAGACGACGAAATGGCCGATGTAGAATATCCAGAACTGATTTCCATTTTGCTCTGTCTGCCAGTTATTTTACACCTGATGGTTTCCTCATCTACATTCTTCTCTTAAATTTCAATTGAAGTTAGGCAATACAATTTGACCAATTCGCAAATTATTGCTATTTGAGTTTGAGAGCTACAGTTGCCTGGTGCTAGGTTTAACTGTTAGTCACTAAAAGCAAATGAACTTCGCTTCCTACTCCTAAAATTTAAAAAGACAGATTGGGCCTTTTCTCTTAAAAAATAGTAAAGTTAGAAGCCTCTTTTAAAGAAAAAAACGAAACAGAAAACAATTTAAATTACCTTCTTGCTAATCTAGCTCTCTGAAGCCAGTTTTCACCCAGAGCTAATTCAAGGAGTCGTAATTGATGGGACTTTAACTCATCAACAATATTGCTGCTATTCATCGTTGGTTGAATACGAGAGGCAATTAGTTCAATAGCAGAATGGCGCATTGCAAGAACCGGTTCCAAGGTGTGGTAGGTTGGCTTTGCATGCTGTACACGAGAATCCAACCAGGATAGCATGTTCTTTACCAAGAGCTGAAAACAAAATAATCGCATGTCCCTAATAATACAAGGGTTCCACAAATAGATAAGACAATAGGAAACATACCTCTGAGTTTTTTTGACTTTGAGGGAGACCAAGCTCATGAACCATAGCTACTTCTTTATTCAGTTGGTCAGAAACTTCAAGAATCTCCTCGATGTCTGTTAGAAGACTTAAGTTAACTAGAGGCTCCGAAGCTCGTAGATATCCACTTGCTCCCTCAAGAGCCGAAGTGGCCAAAATGTTCATCTGATTCTGACGTAGATCATTCATGAATTCGTTTACGTAGAGGCCACGTTGAATCTAGGTATTGAGTTTGATTATGGGTAAGAGGAAGTATTCAATATACTATTTAAATAAGTAGAAACATACCTCATTCGGACATTTATTAATAGCGAGAAACACTTTTCCAAGTCCAAAAGACCACGAGGCTTCCGATGATTCCTAAAATTTTCCAAACGGTTGATCAAGATATAAAATTATTAGCTACTCTACTCATATTAATAAGTAGCGAGACTAACTGAAACAAGAACTTTGTCCATTTCTTCCCAATTCCCCATTCTAATAACAGCCTCTGCTCTAATCTCATTCAGCTGTCTAAACCAAGCAGCATTCTCAACAACACCCCTCTCAGTTGATTTATCATTTCTAGCAGCAGACAATAGAATATCACTTCGAGTAATTAGTGATGGTAAAGAAGCCGGATCTGGGAGGTTACATCGGAAGAGGGCTGCGTGAAGACCCCAGTCACGTGCATTTTGAGGTTTAGAGGATGAAATGCTATGCTCATAGGTGGCACAAGCCATTTCCAGAGACTCCTCATTCTCTAATTGAAGCGCTCGAAGGAGACAGCTTTTGAGGGCATCCGTTTTGGAAAGGCTGATGATTGCTTTGGGAGATGGATGGATTCCGGTGTGTTGCATTTGAGCCAGAACACCCATGACGCCTACAAAGAAAAAGGGATATTTAAATACAAGAGTTTTAACCATACTCAAAAGGGGAGAAGCAGAGGTAATCTAGAGCAACTATCATGAAAACCTCGACTTCTACTACTACCTAATTGACGCAAATTATTGGAATGTGTACAGATAGACGTTGATCTGGTGAACTCGGGCTTAGCAAATATGCAGACTCACCATTGTGACAACAGAACATGAGTGTTAAAACGAATTCTTATGTCATCACACAGTGATGAGGGGGATAAATTTAGGTACTACAATAGTTGACTAGCTTAAAGATTAGTTGATGCAAATTGCATGGCTAACTCACTACCCCACATACTCTCCTAATTATAGTTATATTCCGCATATTTGCTCTGGATGTGACCTGGTTTAACGTAAATGATCGTTTAAAATATAATGCACCGAGTTTTAAGCACCCAGTATGATATCCTGAGATATTTCAGACACTTTCGATGTATTTAATCACAGTAGTCCATAAACCTCCAATACTGTTTATCTTATTCCATCATGTCTATCCATGTTTCATTTGCCTTGAAGGAAGAATTCCTATAGGTATCGAAAATTTCGCCGGAACCTAATTATCTCCACCTCATAAGGGCACTTGAAGTGTTTGATCTTGTTGCAGCCCCAAGACAGCGGTACTTGGAGCGCCTCACAGGTCCCGTAGAGAGCCATTGTGTGCCATGTGGTTTAATTAGCGACATAAGCAGTTCAAGGGTGCCGTTTCGTGGGCCAGTGATGTTCGGACCAATTCCATCTGCCAACGTTAGTAACTCTTTGTGAACCTATAGGCACACAAAAATAATTTATCCACTAAAACGGTTCTCTCCTCTTCTACATGCATTTGCAGATTATGTGAAATAGGATAAAGATGCATGTAAAAAAGTCTTCTTACCATCAGTGTCATGAAGAGAAGAGAGAGTTTCAATCATCCCAATCAAGCTCTCCTTGGCTGGGTCACCAATGAGAGGTCCTAGAGGGGCCTCCTGACGATCGACAAAACCAGTGACGAAGAAGGCTTTGCGAGCGGTTTCATCGGCTGCAAAGGCAAACTCCCAATTTCTGAGGGTGCGTGCCAACCCACCGATTTGACGGCTGGCTCGTGCTTGGGTTGAATGGGAGAGCGTATTTAGGAAATCGGACATTCTGGTAATTGCTGGGGAAAAAAACACGAACTTGAGAAGTCAACTAATACTTGAACTGATTTAAAATGCTTCGTACTGTTTCA